CTGGTGCGGAGATCTTCCTATTTATTTCTTATTTATTACTTCTTATTTATTACACCACTTCCCAATCCAGGGGGGCAAAATTCATTTAACCCCTCTGAACAGAAGCTCAAGTGGGTAGCATTAGGTTACGGGTAACTTAGTTTAGAGGGGAAAACGGGGATAAGTTTAGTGGATTGGGTGGCGTTTAGTCTGAGGTAGTTTAGCACAGCATGGATCACATAAACTGATTATTTTAAAAATATTCAGTTGATACTGCAGAGTATATTTTCAGAGGTATATCAGTCAGCAAAGCAATGAAAAGGACGAGTACGAATGCGCATAACAACATGGATGGGAAAGCGGGAAGAATGTTGGGAGAAGCAACCAAGAATTTTGTGATATTGTGATAATTTATAGTGTGATGATACATTCATTACTGTAATTATCGTAAAACCCTCATTAACCTCTGCGAGGAATGAGGGACGTATAAAGCTTTTTAACGTGTCGTTGTTCTGACGAAAGAGCTATCATATAGCTCTTTCGTGTAATGCCGTACGATCGGGACAGGGTTTGGTGAGGCGCAATATTTACGCTTGAGGTCTAAGGTTTTTGGATGGGTTTTGGATTGCTAAATTCTTTCAAATTCTCAACGGGTGAGCACCTCGCCACTCTGGCTTCGGCAGCAACCTGCCGACTTCTGCACTTTTTGGTGTAAGTTGTCTGCAGTTGCAAGCTGAACCCGATCGAGCGGTGTTACCAGGCCAACTGTTTCGCGAAACGGAGATCGGGACCCGTCTAGCGAAACAGTTGACCTTTTCCCCCTTTGTCTGAAAATTAAAAAGAGAGGTGTCCGTGACGCTCGTCGTCAGAAAATTTGAAAATCGCGCCTTTTTTCGGGTCACTCGGAAATTCAAGATGTTCACATTGCGAACCGAACTTTGTCTGTTTTGACTGTGCAGCATGCGTTTCTCCCCCTTTGAAAAGCTCATTGCGTTCGTTTTTCTCGTTGAAAGTTGATATTTCAAACGTTTCATCTTATTTTATCACAAACAACTACTCGGATCAAGTAAAACATGAATTACTCCGGAATGAATGGTTTAGCCATGAGTTGCTCACCGATTTTGTTCGAATTTGACGAAAAGGGTGCAAGTATGAAAAGTAAACAGATATATACGCATTTATATTTGTGAAAACTTGTTGGAAGTTCAAGTGCACATCTATAGAAGTTTCATTTCTGGTGGATGTAAGGTTCTGATTGCTTGCATGTGGCCGTTAATTAAGTCTCTAACTTCATATCTGGATGGAACTTATGCCTTATTGGACTTTATCTGAACGGGATTAGCTCATTTCACGCTTATAAATATTCGTTTGTTGTTTGTGTAATGACAGAATTAATTTCTTGCAGATTTGATTTGTAAGCAGTCATTTTTTCGTTAGCGATGGTTTTGATATCGTTTATAGTGTTCTCATGCTCTGTAGCGGTAGGCAAGCTACAAGATAGCCAAGAAAAGTTTTTGTTTAGATGCATCTTTCATATTTTATTGTTAGACAACGAAATACAGTAGTTGACATTCCGATCAATGAAGTTTATGTCGAACTGGGAACGAATCGTTGTGCACTCTTTCTTTTGGGTAATTCTCAGATATTTGTGATATTTTTGGAAATTCAGGTCGAGCCCGGGTTTGCTTTTTGGAAGCGCCAGTTGGTTTTGTTTCCCTTCTAAAATCAACGTTCCAGCAACGAATTTCAGTTCGTTTTTAGCATAAGTCACCATTTTTAGGCTGTTTTCTGTGTTATGGTTAGGGGTATTTGCGGTTCTCATATTGCAATGTAGGCTGTGGAGACTTCTTTAGTGAAATTTTCCGATAAAATCGGTTTTTACGTTCATGATTGCTCTTCTTTATCCACTTCTCATTGGATTACTTGTTTGATTGCCATCGGAATGTGTACGGATTGTGTTGCACCAATTCTACACTAACGCCTCTCTGAAAATGATTGTTCCAGTCAAATTGGGATAAAATGGCTCCCCCAAAGAAAGGAAAGCAAGACAGAAAGTCAAGAAGTGCTATGAGTAATGTGGTCACTCGAGAATACACCGTCAATCTGCATAAACGCATATTCGGAGTGTGAGTTGTTGCTGATATTGTTTCTCACACCTCAGATATTTTATTCTCGTAATTCCTCTTATTTTTTGTAATTTTTGACGATTCAACAGCCGTGATCAGTTACTAAGTTGATTCTGGCGGTTTGCATTTTATATTTGTAAACAGTTGTAAAGTTTGTTTGAATATGGATCATTATCGTCAAAATTTCTGTGTATATATAATTTGTGGCTGTTTTCAGAGGCTTCAAGAATCGTGCACCACGTGCAATTGATGAAGTGCGTAAGTTTGCAGAGCAACAAATGGGAACTAAAGATGTTCGCATTGATACACGACTCAATAAATTCTTATGGTCGAAGGGAATCAAGTAAGTCTTTGTTCATTTCATTCTTAAGCTTCTTATTCACTTCAGTAATAAGCTACATGTAACCTTTGCCTTGAAAAAAAATTAAAGAAATGGTTGTTAAAGATTTAAAATTCTGTGAAATGATAAGATGGCAGAACAAGTAAAAATTGATCGTTGAACATTTATGTGAAAATAAGTGTTCTCCTTTATTTCGAGCCTTCATTCTCCTCCATCCCGTAAATGAACTGAATAAATTCCAGGAACGTACCATACCGAGTTCGTGTTCGTTTGGCACGTCGTCTGAATGATGATGAGGACTCACCCTATAAACTCTACACGTTGGTAACGCACGTGCCAGTGACAAGTTTCAAGAAGTTGACGACAATGAATGTTGACGGTGAAGAACAGTAAAAAGATCGATTCTGGGCATTTTCATCGTTGTTGTTGTTATATGTGAATTGTTAAAAGTGAATCCTCTATACAAATACATTATTTGTTTGTGCATCTGTTGTTCTTGCAAAACAATCGATTCATCACTTTCTGATATAATTGAGTGGGTGCTGCATACTGGTCTATTCTTGATTCATTAACTGATAGCGCAACATTATTGTGGAATATTAGAGAAAATGTATTTATTGGATGAGTATTTGGCTAGGTTTAATTGTGCAAAGTATTCACGGCAACTAATTTAATAATCGGTTGTATTCACTTGGCCTGCTCGCCTAACCAGCGGGATGGCGTCAATCAAGGCTAAAAAAATGCGAACGAAACACGGGAATTGTGGCCAGCAACGCTACAAACGTTGGATAGCCTGGTCAATCCAGAAAATTAGAGGAAATATTTACAATGATTGAATACATAGGATTCAAGCATATTTTTAACAGAGTTCTGAATGATGCGTAGTGGAAATTCTGTGTTTTACGGTGCTGTGTCGTCAATATAGAGGTAGAGGTAAATTGTACAGATCAGATACATCCAAGCATAAGCCTGTTTGTGGATGAGGACTTCTAATTATAAGTTGAAGAGTGGTTACGGCGAGCCAGCTGTATAAAATTAAAAACGAATTTTGCAAGATGAGTATGTGAATGATCTCGTATCGGCTTGACATATCCACTGTTTTGTTGGAAATTTTTATTAACAGATAATGGTGAGCTCCAGAAGCTGGATTTGCATCATACAGGACTTTGCTCTGTGCTAATTTTGTTTTATATGAAGAATTACCGGATATTTGGCAATGCCATATTGTTATACCCATCTAGCGCAGTGCCAAGTGGGGCTGTCAGGGTGAAGGATGGTGTTAGGTTCGAGCACGCGTTGAGTATTCGTTAAATTCGTGAGATTTCTCCAGAAATATCGTTGAGGAAATGATGAGAAATGAACTTCTTGAACATTAATGAGAGATTACCTCTAAGAAGTTCTGATCCACCAAACTGCTTTTTATTGTTCATTTTCTTCTCACTGAGTCAATCCAACGTACTATATTACGCAACAATTTAGAACTTTGTTGTTACTTTTCACTATTGCCACGACTTGAGAGCCATGTGTTCAATTGTTCATGTTCAACAACACCAAAATCATGTGTTTATCAATGGATAAGTTGAGCACTTAATGATGAATTAAATACGAATAAAACGGTACATAGCTTTAACGGCATTTTCTCAGCTCCTCTGAAACTGAAACAATACCATGTGGTTCTTCTATCTTGTTGAATATGCTATATAACGGAACTGATTTTGAGCGGATATGAGCGAATTCTATAAAGTGCTTCAAATCCAGTTGCGATTCCAGATCAATAAGATCATTTGACATGTGCAAGAGATATAACTATTGAAAACAAAATTATTTTAAGAAACCTGTTCTAAACACCCTTACAAGACAAGTCTTGTGACACTGAATTGAGCCACAATAAAAGCATGCTTCAGTTTCTTCGATGTTTTGAATATTTTATTTATAATCGAAAACAGAACCCCATTTCAAGCAAATATCAGTGGGTAATTGATGACCATCTTCATACACATAATGTTGATGGTATTGTCGGAATGTATCACATTGAATAAAACAAAGGATCTTACTAAGTTGAACATCATTCAGTAATATTGGAAATATGACAGCATACTGGAAGGAAATTCATATCGCTCCATATGAATACATAGTTTTTTGCAGTTTTTACCAATTCAAAATGACATTTTAAATGACTATATTTGACGGATGTGTGAGTTATGTGGTTCAAACATTTTCACTTTAACTGATGTCCATTTCATCAGAGCGAGCCCTCTCGGCAATCAAGTGTGTTATTTAATATATCTGGATAAATTTTCTTACATGGTTGCTTACCAACTCATGCTTTTAGTGCTTCTCATTCAATCGTTTCAACTTTTCAAGGTAATCAGACATTAAAAAAGAAATAAAACTTCTTCGTATGAAACAGGATCGGTGAGATTTGTACCAATCGGCTGTTATCGTTTCACATTTTACCATGCACGATGCGATATATCATTACAAGATACGAAGATTTAATGCATATGCAAAATATGAATTCATTCTTCAGTGTTCAAATGCAACTCGTTCAGATTTTATTCACTCGTATTCGTCGGAAGACACAGCGTCTGACGAACCAAATTGTCAGCGATTCTTTCGAACTGTTCTCGATCTTCACGCCACATCTTTGCTGCGTTCACATTCGCTGCACTCTCATCGTTTGGCTCTTAAAACGATTCACATTCATATATTCCAAAGAAAATTTAGAAATTCAAACTGAGATTCCATACGAACAATGAAATGATGGTTTCAAATTAGCTGAATACTAAAAAGACTAAAATTTCATTTGATAAGGGATCTTATCGCGAACGAATTGCTCATCGTTTATTTTTATTCTCATGATTTTTCTTCGATGCATTTCTGAATTACTTTCTATCAGTTGCCTGGATGAAATCATCTAAAAAAAGCACTGCATACAGCACAAACAATAGGATTGTTCGCCTGATGAGATAATCGCTTTGTACAGATTCAAAAAAATTTCCAATTTGATTGTATCTCTATGAGTACAACTTCTAAGTAAGTACTCTTAATCTGGACAAAAATACGAACCAGCAAGCATCGAAATCACAGAAATTAAGATTTTTTCGATCGACTGAACTGGCGACCAACGCTCAGCGCTTGTCTCGTAGCCAGTTGGATCAACACCAGGCGCATGCAATATACTGATGCAAACACGACCATCAGGATAGATATTCGGATGGAATATATCACAGGTAAATTGCATTTTTGGTGGTGATAATGGGTAATCCTTAAAAAGATTTTCATCAACATCTCTCTAGAGTTCCAGTCTTCATCAGAGATCAAGTCAATTCACAATTAAAGTTCATATGAAGGTTGGGAAAATTCGGCAGCCTCAACGATGAATATAAAAGTAGAAGAAAATGAAAATTTATTCGATCCGTGGTCACATCTTGAAAATCAAATAAATCATTATGAAAAATGCATGAATGACTGTGCTTTAGACAACTGCCTAAAGCAACCCAAATAACTCAAATGAGATTGAGTAAAGCAAAAAACCTGTGGGAATGTGATCCTGGCCGGGAACACACCATTTTCGAAACATGTCCCTTCCGGACCGGTGATGTAGCACTCCCATTCAAAGAAGTTCTCAACATCCACTGGCCCGGCAATGATACCTTCGGGAGGATCTCGTGTCAGCTCTAGAACTGGGCAAATGAAAAGGTGAGCTATTTTTGCAATAAACTATTATATGCTAAGAAAATTTTGAATGTGAGTGCATGAGCCAGCCCTATTTTTTAAATTCACAATTTCTGCTAACCAAGCACCTAGCTAAAAAATTATTCGTGGCAAACAGTACCAAAAGAGAATGTGTTACTGATAACAGAATATCAGGAAGCTAATAGCAGTGGAGGGAAGTAGTCAATCGTGAAATAAGGTGCATCCTCGGACATGCTACCTGTTTCAATGCCAAAACTTCACTCACGAGCTGCTGATCAAATAGATAAAGGATATCAAAATTAAAAACTATAATTTAATCAAAAAATTCAGGTAACAACCCACGTTTAAATTCCGCCATGAGGCGTTTCAGTGCACTTCCAGCCATTCTCTTAACTGCAGTTTGGTGCGAGCGATATCAAACGAATAAACTACCTAAGAATAAATAATCTATCACTTCAAAAGCACTGCATACAGCACAAACAATAGGAGATTGTTCGCCTGATGAGATAATCGCTTTGCACAGATTTCAAAAAAATTCCCAATATATAATTGGGAATTTTGTCTTAATGTATATAAGTATAATTTATAAGTCTTAATGTATGAGACTTATTAATCATACTTATAACTCCACATAATCCATGTTAGTTAAACAAACCAGGCAACATTTTCATCGAACGCTTGTTTTCCTGTCTTCCTCTGTTGACATACCTCAAACTAGCAATAGATAAAGCACTTTAATATGCTAATGATTTGAAAACATCGCTTAAATTTGCCTTCTTCATTTTATCAACAAACAAACNGCACTTTAATATGCTAATGATTTGAAAACATCGCTTAAATTTGCCTTCTTCATTTTATCAACAAACAAACGAAAAAACAACACCAACCACATCATAATGAAAAAGGTAATGAAGATTTTGAAAAATTTTATTATATTCACATACAATAAATAAAACGATTACAATTATACGTTATCAATTAAAGTAATCATAAGAACGCAATAAATTATCAATACAAAAATATCACTGACCGACATCACACATCCCTATATCACTACATATTCTAACAAGTGCTCTCTTCGCACTCATATCACTACCTGACATATGACTATTTGTGTTAGTATTACTGCTAAATCAAAACATTTTCTCAATTCAACTGGAAAACCTCCACAACTAATGAAACATCAATGTGGCTGTCATTGCAAAAATACATTAATACCGTAGTACAACAGTACAAAACCGAATACGATACAATATCAAGAGAACATTAACCATAAATATCAGAACGAAATACACAAACCAGATAATTTCTACTCGAACCAAAAACTATCAGCACGCTAAAATATTCTCCCCACGTGAAAAATTCTAAGACTACACCGGACACGGATGGATGGTTCATGAAACCCGCTCAGAAGAGTGAAGATCTTACTGGATCGTATCAGTAAAAGA